AACCTTTGCTTCCCACAGAGCTATCCCCAGTCTTCTCATCCCACCACTGGGATGTGTGAATTCCAGCTGTGGCAACAGCTGCAGGAGCTTGTAAAAGACCTCCTGAGAACTGTAAAATCAACTGCAATCAAGGGTTTGTTTCCTGTTTGAACTCCTTCCATCTTCCAAATTAAAACACACCCTTCTGTTGAAGGGGGGGTGAGGGGACAGTGTTTGGCAAACAGATCTCACCCTCAGAGCGGTGGTAATTCTGTAACCCTGGCAAATGCGATCAACAAAAAAATGAGTCAGCCCCGCAGCGTTGGGGAATACGACTGTCATTGCAGACTGGAGATATCTGGCATGGACAAAGCACAGAACAACTTCCCAGCAGCTGGAAATTGTAGGGACTTACCTTATTTGGGTATGTTGTAGAGTTTGGGACTTTTCGGCTTGTAGTGAGGCCCCCGTGTTGCCGGAGTGCCCCTCTGGAGCATAAAGCCCTTTCTGACATTTACTGGTGGCTGCTGGGATGCTGCCTAAGGGCTGGGGGGGGATCCCTGCTCTCCCTGTGTCTGACAACTTCACGCTCCTATTTGCACCGACCTGTAGTTGCAGGTATGGAAAGAAGAGGCGTTGATGTTGCAGAAGGGCTGAAAAAATGACAATATTTATTTTAAGCTCACAGCAGCGTTGGATGGAGCAGGGAGAGAAGGGCCCAGGCTCTGCTGCAGAGCAGCTCTGGCAGCTTGAGAATGGAGACCAACAAGGAAACCTGCTCAGTGGCACCAGACTTTAACCCATCACATTTTGCCTGGCTTTTTCTTCCCATGCGACACTGCAGCCGCTTCTCCTCATCACTGTTTGAAAGCACAGAAGTGGGTTCTCCAGCCCTAGAGCTTTGGGTATTCTCCCTGGGCTGAGAGGTTTCACCATGTCCTATGGTGGTCTCCCTCTGTGCTGCTGTTTCGGTCTGCTCTGGACCCCAGTACTACGTGGGGGGGTTGCTGGGTCTCAAAAAAGGTCATCAGATGAAGGAATCAGGAGGTAAACATCACGCTTCAGCAACTAGGATGCTCCAGTGTGGATGGCAGCGTGGCTCTTACCTCTGCTGCAAATAATGTCCACTGAGAAGGCAAATCCCTGCCCTCCACATTCCCTCAGTGCAGCTTTGCTAATTGTTCATGAAGAGTGATTAACAGGTTAGTCATTCTGCAGTCATCAATATCCAAGCCAGGACATCTAAAGCACTCGTCTCAGCTTTTTTTGTAAGAGGTTCTGTGACTGATCTTATCAACAGAAGCATCTATGTCTATGGGAGAAGAGCTGGGAACATCCTCTCAAAGAGAAAAGTTGTTTTTTTTTTTCTTTTAGGGGGTATGGAGCAAATAGAAGAGTAAGAAAAATGACATTTGGAGCAATAAAGTAAGCATTTTACTTAGAACCGCATAGTATAGGTACAGTTTTTACATTGGACTCCAGTTAGAATAGATGGTCTTCTCTGTTCACTGGGGAGGTCTCTTGCAATCCCTTTGTGTTTCTTAGTCCGCTCCCATTTGCTGCTGCTGTTCAGTTTTTGCAGGCAAATTTTCAGGAGGTTGTTTTTATATATGCTACCGCTAGGCCAGGCATTGATTTGTACAGGAAAAATTATTTAATTTTCTGTGGAAGTGAGCTGGATGGAGTGACTGCTCTACCTACAGAAGAAGCTTTAGGTTTTAGGCTTTTTTTTTTTTTTTTTATGGGCATATTTGTTTTATGTTAGATCTCTGGAACTGTCTCAAAATGATTAGTCCCATTGAAAACTGTACATTTTATTTCACTTAATGAAAGTTTTTTATAGAACTCAATAGAGCACAGGCTGTTGGGCTACCATTGATAACTTTTGTTGGTGCTTTTATTGTCTCCTGCTCCCTTCCAGGAGACACTTGATTTGTCTTGCCTGTTTTCAAGAATTATTAGTACTGGCTATAGTTACTCAAATCTTTTGATTAGCTAGAGACTTAATAAAGCTGTTTATACCCTATTTTTTATGGATGGCTTCAGCTCTAGAATTGCTTTACTAATTGATTTCAGGATGGATTTACTTGTGGCTGAGGAATTAATGTCTATAGTGGCTCTTACATGACAAATTCTTTCCAATAGCCATATTGTGCTTGGACTTCACTCTTAATTTTAAGAAAAAAAATAATATGCTTGGCATAACTAACCGCAGTTGAGGTTTTTCTTAAAAAAACATGGTTCTAGCAGTATTTTTGTAACTTTATGTTGCTATTATTCAAATCTTTCTCTAATGCTGTGTGTGAGCTAAATTAAACTGTGCAGAGCAGACGGCTAGGTATAAGGAGGAAATGTTTTACGATGAGGGCGGTGAGGCACTGTAAGATGTTGCCCAGAGAGGTGGTAGATGTCCCATCCCTGGGAACATTCCAGGACAGGTTTGACGGGGCTCTGAGCAACCTGATCTAGTGGAAGATGTCCCTGCTCATGGCAGGGGGTTGGACGAGATGACCTTTAGAGGTCCCTACCAACCCAAACCATTCCATGACTCTATAAATGGGTCCTGCTAGTTTGCACATGCTTATAATTTCATTGACTGCTGCAGAGGGAAGGTGTTCAGACAGCTATGTATCACCTCATCTGTCATTCTGCCTTTGTTTTCTCTACAGCAGCAGTAACACTGGGATATCCCTGATCTTGCAGCCTGTAGTGACCATACGAGGTTGCTTTTCTACCAGCAGTGGTTTGCTGGCATCGTGGCTCAAAGGGCAGCTTGTTCTCCTGTGGCTCTCTGCTTTCTTCCCTGCCTGCTGACACCTTTCGTGATGGTGTCTTTGCTTTTTCTGGAGTCACCATGCAGGAATAAGCAGCTGCACATGCAGCCTACAAATATCATTTAACACTGGCCGAGATTGTAGATCCATTTGCAGCAGTCCTCTGTGATAGCTTAAAGGCTTCACTGTCTTTGTCCAGTGCCTGGGTCCCAGGTTGTTTTTTTTTTTGCCAACCATCTGTTTCTCCTAAATTAGCGCTTTTCATCCCTTGCTCTTGTGTTACAGAAATACACCTGTGCCCCTGGGCTCCTGCTGCTTGTCAGAGCTCAGCATCTCCGGGAGGCTGCTGGGATTTGCGTGGGAGGTTTTGACGCACTCTAGTGCATTTGCTGCACATCTGCAGTTGCACATCTGCAGTTGCACATCTGCAGTTGCAGATCTTCCTCCCTCTAATAGACATAGGTCAAATATCGAGCTGTGGTCAGTCCCATCCCTCTTAGTTTGCCCTGGGCCAACAAAACTCTCACGGCTAACAAGTCAGGCAGACTGCTGGGATTCTTGGTCTTTTATTAATCTTCAAGACTTGTGGCATGTGGGAATGCCAGCTCATTCCCTCGGTGCTTTCCTGAAGGGCATTTGTAAGGTCAGGTTCAGAGGTTAGCCTGAGGTCTAAAATGGGACAGAGGTATAACACAGGTGCTCGTCTGAGGTTGGTGGACCAGGTTATAGTGGCTACAAAGCTCCCTCGATCCCTAAATTTTCAGTAATAGGGTGATCTTGGCTATGGAAATTTGGAATTATCTGCATGCGTGAGGCTGTCTTGCCAGGTGGAATCTCAAATCTGTTGTCATCCAGAGAGGGGGGGAAGGAGGACCTAAGTTTTACCAAAGTCCTTGAAATGGCCTAACCTGTTTAAAAAGCATCTGAACATACTTTTATGGCACAGGTTTTGTCTCCCAGGCTGAATTCAGTCCTGGATGCTGCTTCTAGGGGATATTTAGAGGGGCTGGCAGCTGCTTGTGTTGCTGGTCTTCTGGTTATAAAGACACAAACAGTCCCAGAAGCAGCACCCAGGCTCACCTTTTTTAAAAAGGTCCAAGTGCTGGGTTAGAGCTGGGCTCCCACCTGCTCAAAGACCCTCAAATGAATCTGCAAAACAGCAGAAGCAGAAAGGACAGCATCTGATCTGAATGTTTTTGGTTGCATAGTCTCTTTGGATTTTAAATCTTCAAGTCCTTTGGGTCTGTGATTTTTAAACTGATCATGTGAAATGACTTTAGAATGAGGAAGACTTTCTGTCAGGCTTGTTTTTTTGGAAAAGGTTCGCAAGAAAAGTCCTCTTTTGGGCAATTGGCCCCTGAAGGACTTGGAGGAGGCATCAAGTGGCGGTGTCCTCCTTGCACCTTATGTATCTTAGAAACCAACCCCCAGGGAGAACATCAGCAAGAGGGTTCTCAGCTTCCCGTGACTAACTGGTGATGCCTCATGAGGTTTCTCATGAGACACTGAAGACCCATGTGAAGATCCCAGTCTGACACCCAAGAAACATCAAGGGGAGCCTTTGACTTGTTCATTGCTCGTGACGTGATGCAAGGGAACTGCTCCCCTAGGAAAGGCAGAGAAAGAGCTGCAGTAACTGCCAGCTGCAGTAGACGTTTATCTCATTCTTTTACATGAAGTTTTCCTATTTCCCACTGGATGCACGTAGGGATTCAGACCTGCTATCCTGCATTCAGCAGGAGAGAGATCTTCTATTTGTAAGACAGAAAATTATGCAAGGAAAAGAAAAATGTTTGATCATTGCTAGCTAGTCACTTTTCTAGTCTGATTAAAGCATATATATTCATACCTTCATTGTCTTGGCACTTAATGAGGAGTCAGGAGATGGCACCAAAAATAGTATGCACTTTGTAAGAATATTTACCTGTGTATGTTGTAGCTGTTAAAGGGATTAAGAGGGTTAGACATTGACACAAGAAAGGAAGAGATCAGTCTGTTTATTCCACTTTCAAATATACATGTTCTTAATTTGAAGTGCAGCTCTTGATGTAGTTCTTACATTATTTATTGTTGTTAGATACCAAGGCCTTCTCAGCATATTTATTTTGTTAAATTGTATGTCTGAAATTAAATACAGCCTCTTGTCAGCTTTAATGTTCTTCTGCCTATTCTTATAATTATTATTGATAAGAGGTGACTTTGAAGTTAACAGCCTGTGGATTGATAAGGCAGCCATTATTATGTTACCTGAGTCCTTTTTGGAAAGCTTAGCTCAAGGGCAAATCGTCTTTCCTCCGGAGCATGGGATGCCGAATCCCCAGCCTGCAGACAGCTATCGAAGGTGGTGTTTGTGGCTGTAGTGTACTTGGCTGGCATCTGAAAAAAACGCCCCAAACCCATACTCTTGTGGACATTTGAAATCAGTAAGCGTGGCGGTTTTTGGGGGTGCACAGGGGGGTGCCTCCTGTGCTTATTTTTGAGTCACTGGAGGGTTTCTGCTCCTTTCGTTTCTGCTCTTCTCTCCGGCTCTCTGATGCTCTTCTCTTCATTCTCAGGTAGTAGATCCGGTTGGCTTCTGGGTAGGTGACTTTGCAGAGGGGAATTTTGTGGATGGCTGGGTTGTCTGAATTTATCAGCAAAAAGAGAAGTGCGGAGAAGCAAAAAGGCCAGGTGCAGAGTGGCAGCCCAAGCTGGAAGGGGAAAGGACAGACAGACACGTGCCTTTTGGTACCTCTCTTTGCATGTTCCCTTTGCTTACGTCTGCCCGTTGCTAAACTCTTGCATTTGAGAAGCTGGGAGAGCCTGTCCTTACCCTGAGGACAGTGTGAAATAGAAAGTGGCTTCCTGACCCCCCCCCATACAGGATCCCCAATTCGGATCCAGAGGAGGATGCCCAGATGCAGGTGGCTATGTGGTAGGGGCTACACGTGAGCTAGGTTTCTGCTGGGCACTGGAGGTCTGGGAAGCTCCTCGGCTACAAAATGTCAATTCAGCTGCTCACACAGAGGTATCTAGTTTATCTGAAATGTATGGGGCTACGTAAGGCATCCTGCACTGGGGACCTCAGTCCTTTTGGAGATGCTGCTGTTGGTGCTGAATGGTACCTGGCAGCAATATTGAAGCAACTGAATCAGGCTCCAGAGCTCTGCTGACTGTAATGAAAGCCAACACACCCAGCTCACACATAGGCATTTAAATTCTCTAATAAATGAGCCAAATCCTACCCTCACTGTACTTTAAGATATCATGTACTGAGAGTACTGTTCACACGTATTCACCATCCTCAGTGCCCACGTTTACTGGCATTGCATCCAACCCACAGTCCTGCTCTGTGATCCCCATCTCTTGACCTGACTTGGGGTCTGCCAAAAACAAGATTACAGGGAGAAAAAGTAGATGTCCTTTTTTCTGATGCATCCCAAAAGCAGGTGTGCTTAACAAAGCAACCCATCTGCAGGGATCTACATGGTACTGAGTGGATGCCAGATGAATACATTTAATGCACGAAGCTGCTAGTTCTAAATATTTTTTCTTTTAAGTTACTAAATCAATTTTATTAGAAGTATGGTTTTGCTTTAATCCCTCAGATCTTAAGGAAGAAACAAAGCTTGGCATTTCTGGCTTCACCTCATTCTTGATCTGTCCAGATATGATGATTTTGTATTTAAGAGAACAGTCTCCTCCGCATTTTAGTTCTCATATCCAGATCAAACTTAAATAGTATCTGTGGGTAGGGTGGGAGAATGACCTTGGAAGAAGTAAGTAAAAATTTAGACCATGGGGAATTGTTCAAAAATATTGCCTGCAACTAAGTATTGCATCTCAAACCATATGCTGTTGCTGGAATTCACATAGACATGCACAATCCCACTGTGGATAACATGCTCGAAAGGCCTTTGAAATCTTATTATCAGCTATAGAGTCTGCAAGGGCACAATTCAACTGACACAGAATTTGTACAAGACCTGCCACTGGCTACTACTTTCTCTCTTCAGTGCTGTCAAAACTGATGGAGATTTTTGGGGCATTTCCTTAGTATTGTATCATTACAAATCAAAATACAGTTAAAACAAACAAGCAAACAATCCCACAAAAAAAGAAAAAAAACAAACCCCAAACTTACCACAGATAGGGCATTAGCAAGAGCTGCTCCGGAGTAGGCACAAAATAATGCTGAGAAAAGAAGACCAAAGACAACTCAAGGTGAGGAAAGTCTTGCTCATCTCTCTAAAGAAGTTATCAGAAATAGTAATACTGTCCAAAGGCACTGTGATATATCCTGCCAGCTACATGATGTGAGGATTAGTGTTAAAATTCAACAATTAGTTAAAATGCCCCAGTGCTGCCTCTGGCCACGTGGACTACATTTGGTCCTACCTGCTCTGTAGAGATGGCTGGTGAATGAAGAACGTGGTTTTGTCAAGAGTAGCTGATGGTGGTATTTCTTTTATCAATTGGCACAACCTGAGCTGTGTGCAGTGGGGGATTACAGAAATTCTCCACCAGCGCCCTTCCTTTGGCTTCAAACCACAAGCAGTTAGCAGTGACCCTCCTGGCCCCAGGATGTCCGAGGTGGCAAAGCAGGAGATAAGGCACCCAAGGGCAAAGTCAAGGAAGGGAAAACTACTGAGCAATCCAGAAACCATGCTCAGGACAGAAAACTATGGAAATGCAAATGGTTGGAGGCTGGGTGAATCTTCATGGGAATTTTATATATGCTACGCCGTTCTTAAACTCTTCCCATAGAGTCTGGGTTTGGCTGCTGTTGGAGATGGGGGTCTTTGGGTAGACGGATTTTAAATTGACCTTGTGCAACAGCTCTTTTCTCATGGCACACTTCCTCTAATGATATATATAGTTACAAAAAGGCTGCTTCTGTGAATCTGTTGAGTTGCTAATTTGTTAAACTTCTGCTCATGGCATAGCTTGTGCTCCTTTCACAAATGGTACTTCCACCGTCTCCAGATGTTTTTAAGTTATCGGGGCCTAAAGGCCCTTCTCTCTGCAGTTGCAGCTTGCACGTCCAAGCTCAACTCATGCCATCACAGAAACAGCTCGTGTGTAGTACCTAGTTTTGCAGCAGAGCGGTAGTTGACTCTAAACCCTGTACTACTCATAGACTGCCTGGCTGCATGAATTTTTGTCTTCCCTTTTTGTAAAAGATACATACCACAGGCAAGTGACAGCAAATGAGTCTGCCAGGTCAGGGCGTAGAACATGCCCCCGATCGCAATGCAGGCGAGCGCGCAGTTGTAATTGTGTAAGCCAAGGTAGATGCTGTCAAAGGGTGATGCAATGCTCAGCGCTGCAAGACAAAAGGCAAGGCTGTGAGGTCAGGTAGGAGAGGTATCTGCAGGAGGACCCGTCACTTGCTGGGAATCCATCATCTCTTCCCAATGACATCTAGACAAATTTAACTGCATTTGCGCTTGCGTAACGTGGACATGCAGAAAAAGGATGAAATCAAATGAATGAAGCTCATTATTTCGCAGCTCTGATGATGCCCCTAGGGTTGGAACTTGGCCCAGTCTCAAACATTTCTTTAGGGCAAAACTGTTGGCATATGCACTTCAGTGTGTTGTAGTTAGTTCCCCAGCTAACGAGATGAAGGATCCAGCCAGAACGTAGGAGGACCTTCTCACCTGAGTGTCCTTGCAGAAAGCTGTGCTCGCACGTACTGTTTAAACCTCATACATACCCTGATCTTGAATATCAGAGGCACAGCTGAGTGTCTTTTGTGGGAGTAAGCAAAGTTTTCCATCTCTTCCTAGTGACCTTTGCTAGATGTTGTCTAGTTACTAGAGGTGGTTGCTCCATCAGTGCTGTGCAAATTGTCCACTGGGATGGGAGCTGAGGGTCTGCTCCAAATCTCACCTCACAGGGACTTCTGCAGGATTTCTCATAGGCTTCAGGATTACCAGTAAAAAGGAGAGCACAATATGTAGTGCACAGGCCACCTTCATGTCACTCTTAAGATTAATACATTTTCCTGCTATAATATCCTCATTTGTCTTCTGTTTCATCGCCATGCTTATCCCCAGATACTTTCCTCTGACCTTTCTCTTGTAGATTAAATGTCAGACCTGTACAAAACTTGCCAAATGCTCTTAGCCATACAAATTGTGGGTAGTTTTGTTTAAAAACACAAATAGAAAGCAGCTCACATCTTGTACAAAGTGCTTCAGAGCACAGAGAACTTATTGTTGGGTGACTGTGCCTTTTCCAAGGTTGTTGTCTCAGACTACACTTATTCCACCATATTTTTTTTTTTATTACAATCGGTCACATAAGTGGCATTAATCTTGTTTAACTTCAAGGGTCAGATTCATCTCTCTTAAGATTGTTTCTCCGGTTAGTGGGGAGTCAGGCCATTTTGAGTGGCGTTCATTTAGCTATTTTTACAAATCTGCAGCAGGATAAAGTGAACTGCATCCTAGAAAAGTCTGTTTCTTTTCATTGACTGATCAGCTCTGAGGCAGACATCTGCTTGTGGTGGTAATTTAAAACACTTGTGGTGGCAAAAGATCAGTTCTGGGACTATTTATCTAGGTTTCTTTATAATCATCTCCATGGGATTCATCACATCCAATGGCAGGAGGGTTAAGCAAGGTAGAATAAACCACCTGCCTGAGTTAAAAATCCAGTAACAAATTTGAAGCTTAAAGAAAATTTGCTTCTGTTCTTGCCTTCACTATGTTGTGTGACCTTTAGTAAGATGTTCCAAATTTAGAGATGGTTTCAAAAATGAGAGTGTTGTCCTAAGTACATCCAAGCCCATGCAACTGTAAAGTCCAGAGTCATATGACGGCTTGGGTCAAGATACCATAGTTACAAAAATGACTGGTAAATATTTCTTACCTGCAAACATCCCCACTGTCGATCCAATTGCAGCATGTAAACAAATAAGTGGGGAGGAGATAAGTAAAGCAACAAGGATGATGCCTCCAGTCCAGGGGTTTTCACAACCATACACTTGACCAATGCCAGCTGGGATGGATTGCAAGAGCTGCAGCAGCCGGTAGAAAAGGGCATGTTATTTTATCTTTGTACTTAGAAGGACATGGCAGTTATTTTGTCCAAGCTATTGGTTGAAAAGGAAAGGAAGGAACCCTGGCTCTGAGTTGGACTGCTGGGTAAATGTGGGCACTCATGCCCTTCAAACCAGAGTTAGTTCACTGTTTGGGTTGAACTTTATCAGTCCAAGATGGACTTTTATTTCTTTTGGGATGGTAGTATGGTGGATGGGGTGTTGGGGATTGTTTTCTTTTTTTTGGGGGGGTGTGGGGGTGTGACTTTAGTGGGGGAGAAAAACGGTAACATTCCTGGCTGTACATATCACATAGCCATTCTGCCCCATGTGAAATAATTGCTATCCAGAACTGAATGCCTTCATGCTCACCTTTTTAATAAGATAACATAAACTTGTTCGTGTGAAGCTTACCAATGGCACATTGATTGCAGACCAGGTGATATTGGGGACTGAAGCTACAGGCTTGATGAGGGTTGTAGGGAAGAAGGGGTTGTAGTGTCCTGTGGCTGCCAAGTACAAAGTCACCACAATATTGAAGGGCAGGGTGAAAACAGGAAGGTCCCATTTACTGAAGATGGATCCCAAAGCACTGGACAGGATTGGACTGAGAACAGGAGAAGAGACACAAGTATAACTTGTTCATAACAATTATAGTGGTGAAACAGATCTACCACTTTGGTCACAAGCTCTGGTATATGCAAGCCAATGCCATTCCTTTTCAAAACATCAGGTATTGAATACCTTAATATATTAGTCTGCATCAGGCTAATAGTTGCAGAATGCTGTTCATCTTTTTGCAACAACTATCACATCCATTCACGGGATGGTATAAACTCCGCATCCTTCTCTCAGGAGAGGTGGCTAGTGTGCAAGCGCTCTGCTAGCTCTGCTGAGCTCAGGGAATCAGTGAAGAAATGCATCCAGCACAGCATTTAGGCACAGATGGAGAAAGGTAATCTGGCTTCTTATTTGGTAGAAAAATCTAACAAGAAAGAGAAGAGCAAATTTTGGGAATGCCACATGAAGAACTGTGGAGAAGTTTAGATGGTTTGAAAAAGCTGCTGTCTTGAGGAGGCAAGAGGAAGCTGGAAATTACCTAATTTGCTTTTTAATTTATTTATTTAAATAGCATAAAGGATATCAGAAGATGGTTCTGGAAAAGAAATAAAGCAGAAGAGGTGATCAAAGAGGATGGAAAATCTTCCATTAAGAAAGATGGAAAATATTTACTGTGTTAGACACTATTTTGGGGGAATGAGGACTCCTTAGGACATATGGAGCCTGACAGAGTGTAAGACGAAGTGACCACTCTAACAGAGGTGTGAGGGGTGTTGTGCCAGGCATGACCCAGACCTTGGTTAATGTTCCTACTTATGTCAATGAGACTGATGTTGCTGTGTGCTGCCCAGGTACCACCCAAAATCATACGGCATTTTCTGAAAACTGAGCTTAGTTCTTAAGAAACATGATTGAGTATATTTAGCACGTAAAGTATTTGGGGTGACCCTCAAAATATTTAGAGAATGAACACTAAAAAGCCTGCAAACCTTGAGATACCATGACTTTTCCCAAAGTTCTTGGCTGTAGAACCTGGGATATAAACTTCGCCAGATCTGCTTTCCTCGGGACATTTCCAGACTGCCTTATTTCCACTTAAAGTGAGTGTCCTGCATGAATGACTTTGTGGGAGCATATTGGCAAGATAATATCTGTTTTTTATGGGGCCCACAAGGGTTGTGGAAGAGAGTGAATGGCCAGGTCCTGTCCTTGATAGAAATGGCCTGTGTTCTGCTGCTTCCAGCTGAGCTTTTCTGATATAAGTGAGCTCTTATGGTCAACCTCCAAGTAGCAGTGGACATCGCACAGTTTACAAAAATTCAGTTTAAAGACTTGAATTTTTCAAGAAGCTGCATTTGAGTCCTAGAAGGTCATTAAGCTGGTTCTAATAAAGGAACCCCACCCAAACTATGTGGCATTTCAAAAGCAACATCTTCTGTCCTGTTGTGTAGATACTATCAGTGAAAAAAATGCTTCGTTTTCCTTGTATAATCTCAGATGAAGCCTATTCTTTTATGACAAATTTGGTTCCCAGAGCAGTTTACAGATTTCCTTGCTTGTAGCTGTAGGAAAAAAAATCAGCACTTCAGTGCAAACGGTGTCCTAATTTCTGTGCTGAAATACAAAGCTTCTGCCAGTTATATATCTTGTCAGAAAAAAAGGAAACAATTAAAGAAATGCTGACTTCTAAAGCTGAAATTCAAAGTATCAGTTGAAAAAATCACTGAAATGTCTAATTTAAAAATCTTTCAGCTCTACCCTCAAGTCTTGTGAACTAAAAGAACGAAGAAAAGTTTAAACAAAAGGCCCCAAGGAATTCTGGCAGACAAGACAAACTAAACATTCTTGCAACATGTCCTGGGTTTTGAGAGGTTGTTGCAAAATGACCTTTGCTGAGAGTGACTAAAGAAATAAAATATGAAAAAGAGCTGATCTTAAAAGCAGTGAAATGCAATAATGACTTGCATCTTATCACTAAGAGTGATTAAAATGTGACTCTTGAATTAATTTCAGTTAAGGCTGTTAAATAGATTCTGCAGTGCTGTTAGGGTCCATATTTAGAAATGGTAAATTTAATCCTGAAAAGACGCTGTCTGGCATTTGGAGATACTTGGAGGAATTAATTTCGCTCACGACTGGTTGCATATCTGAGAAGGGGAATATTGAATTCAGCCCGAGGGAGAGCACCGGATCAGTTCAGCGCCTGGCTGAGGAAGAACCGTCGCGGTGCTGGGCATGATGACGTCCCCCCTGAATGAGTCCTGCTGATGAGGGCCATTCGCAGAGCGTTGAATCGGGGCTGCTGCTTTGTCTGTGTGCTATAATCAGTGCTTGCGCACTCAACCTCCTACCGACGTGCCTCGCAAGCTCTGTGCCTCAATGGATATCTCTTTCCAGTGCCACCGTGGCTGGAGCTGCTGGTGTAGGGGACTGGGCAATGTGTTTTAAGCTGTATGTAGCAGGACTCCTCATTCTCTGAGAACTGTCCCTAGGAGGAGAAAGTGGCACTTACCAGGCCATTGATATAACTGCCACGGGAGGAAGAAGCCACCAGAAGTAATCGCCTTTGTCAGAGAAGACGGCCATAAGGAGTCCCACCAAGATCCCGTTATAGCCGTGCAGCCCAGCTGCAATGGCTGATCTGTGATGGAAAGAAATGTTTGCAAGGTAGCAAGCTGTGCTGAAGGTGGCCTGTCACAGAGACCCACTGAAATTCAATTTATAAGTGTCCTGCTCCTGGTGAAGGGAACGTAAGGGAGGGATGAACAAGCGGTGAGGTTGCTGCTGTATTGCATTGCACTGGTGTGCGGAAGGGGAGAGTTTGGAGATTGTTGGATGATGATGATCTGGGGGGGTCCTTGGGACCCAAAGGACCTGTGTGGTTGTGACAATGGCTATCCAAGAGAGATAAAAGTTTGCTCTCAAAAAGACAGCTGACTATGGGGCCAGGCCAGCTCTTTCTTGACCACAGCTCCGTCCTCACCTAACTGCTTCCAAACCACCCATAAGGAAAGCCAATCTGCTGTCTCTAATGCACTCAGATGCGGGGCTATGACCCATCAGAGGGTTTCCGATATCATAACGATCAATTTTTATTAAGTGCCCGAACATGAGGTACCACCTACCTGTCCTGACTGAGGGCCAGCGCAGTTAATGTCGACACGGTTGTGCCAGTACAGCCTGTGAGCAGGCACCAGGGGCTCTGGATGAAAAGCCCCACTAAAATAATGAGTCCGCTGAGAGGGTTGTTGACAAGCATCACCTGAGAGGTGCCTCGCAAGATCCAGTCCACCAGCTGAACCATTAGGGGCTTATCTGGAGGAGACCAAATAACAACATTGGCAATAAGGCATCATTTCAGCAAAGCACACTCATCTCCTACAAGTCGCTTTCTGGCCACAGAACTGAGGCGATGTGTCACCGGGACTGTAAAACTGGTCTCTGATTTATTGCTGTCTGAGCATATTTTGCATCTGGCACTTGAAAAGCTAATAGGGATGGACTGGGCACTGCTATAAAGTTCATGGAGGGATTAATAAAAAAGTGGTTTATTTATGGTGGTCAAAGAATAGTCTTTCTTGCATGGTAGGATGCTTAAGATTCTGCTATAAATTTAATGAGAAGATAGTCCCTTTTTGGTGTATTATTCAGATGCAGAGAGCAACTTAGGCAAAGACTGAAACTAGTTTGTACGTGGATAGGGAAAGATGAAAAGGAAAACTTTTGCTGTTTCAGGGACCCAGAACGTGGAGGTATACTATCTATAGGAGATGGGGTCAAACTGTCAAAGGTGTCTAAAAAAGTACTTTGGGAACTGAAGAAGTTAAATTAAGAGAATAGTTATTATAGCTTGGACTGTACTCGAGGGGAAAGAGGCATTTCCAAAGGACAAAGAGCCATTGCTCTTTAGAGAAGACTGTTGAACTCGGACAGAGCAAACGGGCACCAAGTTGGGGTACCTCAGGTGAGTGCAGGGGGGAGGTGGGATGTGTGTGGGGCTGAGGGCAACCTCTCTGAGGGCATCTATGTGCAGTGCTCCTAGCGATCTCCATGGGGAGAGGAGGGTCTTGTAGCACTGCAATAACTTTTTGCCTCTGGCTCTTCTGCTGCAAATTGACTTCAGGTCTTTTTTTCTGCCACGTTTCTGGGAAAGGTGTAACCGTTTCTGTACTGCTATGCATTATTCAGCATGATGCAAGGAGACGAAATGAGAAAGAGGGGCTGCTTACACGTACAGTATGTATATGCAGCTTTTGACTTCTTAAGTATTTAAAATTAATTCATTTAGTTTAAATTGTTAATTAGACACAGCATAAAGTGCCAGACTACTTTTTGAATCTGGGCAATGACATATTCCTAAAACCTCCCCTCTCGCCCTCTCCTTCCCTGTGTTGTATTTACAGTCAAGGCTCAGGTTTTGCTTTCTGATGAGAGTAGCTTAAATAGAGGATCTCTGAAGGGCCAAGTACCACTCTGCATCTCTTCAGCATCCCTGGGAGAGCCCTCCCAAGAGGCTGGAGTGCAAGTTGAGGGATGGCATCATGAACATCCCTCAGGCTGTGCATTGTTGGGGAGCCAGGCAGTTCCAGTCAGGGACGAATGAGTTCCTTAGAGAAAAATAATCAGGCTTTTCTGGAATAATGATTACTAATATTTGGCGTTGAGCTATGAAATATATCAGCAATGCTCTTGGCTTTAGACACAAGTATTAACTGTAAGTATTGAAATATAACCGGTGGGCAGCAGCCAAAGCTTTTCAGGACCTTGAATAAGAAAACATGGACCACTAGAGTAAAGACAAAGCAGGAGGAGATGATCCCCTGCAGCTGGGGACCACACTGCCAGCCTGCTGAGCTCCCTGGCTGGAGACACCTCAGCTCACGTCCTCCACCAACGATAGCCACTGCACAGCCTGGCTGTACATGGCCGTATCTTATTTCTCTCCTGTTGCTGGAGTTGTACTGCTAATGAACCTAGCCTTGACAGAGGACCCACAGTCTTACAAAGCCTCTCAAAGCCCCAGATCCCTAATAATTCCAGGTAACGTGGACCATCTGCTCGTGTATTGTTCCTGTCTGGACAGTAAACCTTTGAGATCAGTACTTGCTTTGTATTTTATAGCAACATAACAGCCACAGTGCTTATTGCTCCCCCAAGGCTGGTAATACAAGAGCCTTTGCCCACACAATCAAGAGTCAAGTCCCCGTCGTCAGCCCACACGCGGACGAGGAGACAGTCGCTAATCTAAAGCACTTTACAAACAAGACTAAATCCCCAGCCCTGTTGTGTGATTCTGGGCACCGCTATAAGGAACGTGATGCTAATGACACATAACTGATTAAGTGTAAAAGATGTGTTTTGCCTGTGCTGAATTATGCCTGCAGCCATGGTAATGGCAAGAGGACGCAGTGAGATCCCCTTCCCGAGGGTAAAATGATTTGGGTGAAAAGACCAGAAGTTTGCAATGAGCTTGGACCATGCCACCTCTGCTCTCACTCAGGGATGAAATGGCCCCTCATCTCATGCCCCAGCACTGAAAGTACTGTTGGCAATACAGATGTTCCCAGCTCGCTCTTTCTAGCCAGAGAGCCCCAAGCACATCCCTCCGCTCACTTTTCATCCACGCTCCATATTCTTTCATTTCTCCTGTGAGATATTCGAAAACTTGGTGGATGCGATTTCTGCTTCTCCCCAGCAGGTCCTGGGCTCTTGGCTTCTGCTCCGCATACAACTGCCTCTCGCCGGGACGTTCGGCCACAACGATCTCTCCAAGCTCCATCTCTTTTGGGTGGTGAGAAGCGTTAACTGTAAATCATAAAGCCCTCGTGTTAGAAAACCTTTTGGGTTGTGCCCTGGCAACTTTCTGCTGTATTTTAAAGCCCCATGGTGATATCCTTTTTCAAAGATGGAATGTTTCATGGAGAAGGGACCTGCCTGAACCACTGCTGAGAGCGGTGTGGGCTGCTGCCCAGGGCAGTGGTTTCTCCTCTCAGGGATGAGGACCCACTGCTGTCACGAAGCTGTGGCACAGAGCTGTAGGGGCAAAAAGGGAGGTGGCATAGGTGCCCTGAAGCATCCCACCCTCACTCCAGCTCCTGCTGCAGCGTGTGACAAGCTGCTGGTTGGACAGGGTTGGACATAACATTTGCCAAGTACCTGCATGCTGACCAGTGCTGCTTGGCCAAGTATAGCTGCTGTTGCAGCAACTGAGGAGGGACACTGCTGATGTCTAGCTAGTAGCGAGCTAGAGGGAAGAAATGCAAATTGCCAGTACAGTAGCAGACAGCAGGAGACACAAAAATACTAGAGGAGAGGCTAAAGCCTGTATCCCTTTTGATGTTTTGAGCTGGTGCCTTCGTATATCCCAGCAAATCTATGGCCTTTCCATGCTCCTCATTCCACATCTGCCTTTGATAGACCAAGAGCAAACTGGGGTAGCATCAAAGTACTGCGCAGAAATCAGGATCCACATGTGGCTTTAGACAAAGATAAGCACCTTGGCTCAGGGCTGTGTGCTCTTTAGTTAGGAGGTGAATATCCAGCAGGAGTATGGGTTTATTCATCTCGCAATTACAGTTGCAGGGCTCTGTTCATTAAAAAGTCCATTAAGATATAAGGAGCATATACACTGCATCACACCCTAGTGAGCTACACTGCAGGTTACATCTGCAAAAATGCCACCCTGCTTTCTGAGGGAGTCTGGCATCGGCTGGTCTGTGGTTTTGCTCTAGTGATTTTTTTTTTTGAGACCTGTGGCTGGGTTTCTAGGTGTTGCCCAGAAGTGGACAGTGTTGTGAAGTGCTTGCCCCCTGTTTTGTGGAATATGGGCACCACCTTCTGGTGGGAGCCTGTTTTTTGGTAGCTCAAACAGGCTGGCTGTTAGTATTAAAGCCTTTAGCAGGCTGGAAAGGGATGCTTGGCTGGAGGGAAGGCTGTTTTGCAGGGACAAACACTGACAGGCAGCTAGCAAAAATATCTGTGGCTCGGAATGCCCTGAGAAGAGCATCCTTGAACATCAAAAGATGTTGGTTTTTTTTTTTTTTTTCCCTCACCCCTGGCAGCACAACGCTAAGTGCAAGCCCTGCAAATGCATCGTGCAGAGCCTGTTGTCTAGTGCTTTGGCTCTCTCTGCCGGCAGCTCGTCCCTACGGCAGCAAGGAGGTTGTAGGGAGGTGGGTACCGGTCTCTTCTACCGAGTAACTAGTGATAGGATGAGATGAAATGGCCTCAAGTTGCACCAGGGGAGGTTTAGATTGGATATTAGAAAAAAAATTCTGTACTGAAAGGGTTGTCAGACGTTGGAACAGGCTGCCCAGGGAAGCGGTGGAGTCACCATCCCCGGAGGTGTTCAAAAAACACGTAGACGTGGCACTTCAGGACATGGTTAGTGGTTTAGTGGGCACGGTGGTGTTGCGTTGATGGTTGGACTTGATGATCTTAAAGGTCTTTTCCAAACTAAACAATTCTATGATTCTAAGAGTCTTTGTGATGAATGATTCTAAGAGTCTTTGTGATGAATGATTCTATGAGTCTTTGTGATGACCTTCAGGGCTGGATGTGATGACCTGGGGCTGGATGTACTGGCAAGCGATGTTGTTAAGTGTTACTGTAAAAACTAAACCTAAGCATCCCTCACTTTGCTTGATCCTAAGGGGGGGAGGAGGATTATAGAAGGTATTGAGTAGTCTAAAGCAATAAATGTGCTTGTGCAAGGAATAGACACCCCCAAAACCTTGCTTCTGGGCTCATGAGAAAGGAGGTTCCCAGGTTCTGCCCAGCTACACTCAGTGCAGGAACAAGCAAGGAGCAAAAGAAGAAGGAGGACATGGGTTTATTGTCCCTCTTCTTTTTTTTTGCTATTGGTAATCTGATTCTGGCCAGAAGCTGGGTCCAATCCCCGGTTTCAGCTTAAGACAGCCTTGGTGACTGTCATTTTTGGTTAGTTCCTTGTGGCCAGCCAGGAGGACATTGGTGTAGGGAACACTGAGCAGGAGTCCTCTTTCTCCTCCTACGTGTCTTCTAGGCTGAGGGAATTTGCATCCCTCTGAGGTAGAAAGAGGCCAGGTCTTACTGGAAAACCAGGTATTTGTGCCTGAATACATCCCATAAACACTAGGCTGTGTAAGATGCATTGTTGCCCTGGGCTTCCTGGTAGTCAGTGTAGCTTTGAGCACCTTCAGATGGAAGTCAACCTATTTCAGCTCAGAACTGCCCTCTGAAAGTTCCCATTCTTCCCATTAACAGCTCAACCTGGGTGCTCCAGTCAAACACCCAATGTTTTTTGGGGAGGGACACAGGGTCTGAGGTCAACAGCACAAGCAGAGAAGAGACTCCAGAGTGGTGCCAGGCTAGCACCTGGCTGTCACAGAGGTTGCTTTCCCACCAGAGCTTAATATTCAGAGTTAGCAGATATGGCTGGTATCAGAGATATTCAACATTGCCTATTTTGTTTATTTGCTCATATTCCTTCCAGAAGACTTCTCCAAAGAGTTTCAAAAGATTGAGGTGGGCTCAGACAGCTGCAGTGAATCCACGTAAAGGAGACGGGAGCATCTCTTAAGAACTTGAAGTCTTGGGGAAGCATCAGTAAAGAAAGGTTAGTGTCCCCTTTGCTGTCAACAATATCCACCACCAGCAAGCAAGTGCAGCTGTTACCAGCAGGGAGAATAAATGCTGAGTGGTTGCGTCTATGTCTTCACAGCACCTGAAAATCTCACGTTCATTTTAAACCTCACCAGGAAAAAATTACTGTGGGGTTTTACAAAGCAGAAGCATCACTGCAGAGCTTCTAAAGCCTGTATTTACAAGATTGCACTGCTCAATTCCCTCTGAAATTGAGACGTGGGACCTGTATATTTTTAAAATTCTTGTCCATGCTCACATAATTTAACCATTAGGGGTTCAGTGCAAAGTAGTCATATGAGAGCCCTTTGCAGTCAATAGAGAGAGAGGCTAGTATCTCCAGAGAGTGATTGATGTCCCTTTTCTTACATACTTATCTGAGATGTGAAAAAAAAAAGGGTGTCTGTCTCTCCCTTTCCACTGGCTGCAGAGGGAGCCTGGTTGCTGAGTTTTTAAAGGGCTATTTTCAGGCAAGAGAAATTCCAGCCTAAGAGATTTTGCCAAGGTCAACCTCGAAGTTTATGGAACCGGGATCTGGAGTCCCAGGCTAGTGCTTTAAATCACTGAGCCATCTGTAACAGGCCTGTAATCTGCATCAAGAAGGGCATCAAAGCTCTGGGGCTAAGAAAAATTACAGTCTCTTCCTGTGATTCCTGTTTGCTGTCTCCCTACGGATCAGAAGGGAACTAAATCTCTGCTTGGAAGGGAGCACACTCACCCACCTCAGAAGGAAGGGCAACCTGGGACATGACTGGAAGAGACAGCTGAAAAATTACCAATTTTTGGGGGAAAGGAGTAGTGCAAAACAGAGATATGGGGATGCTGAAATCCTCTACAGTTCTGCAGCAGTGAACTGTGGGGCTTTGAAGCAGAGTGGCCCAAGGGGTTGCAGCAGCTAGAGAAAATCCTGGAGGGCTGTGATGGGCACGGTGATCCCTGCAGGAGCATCGCCCTGGAAAAAAACATTTCTTTGCAGTGAGCACCTGTCAGTCGATAAGCTTGTGCTCAGTGACACAGGCTCCATGTATAATAGAGAAATCATTTGAACAATTAGCTAATTAGGGCTAATGAGAGCCTGAATCACTTATGGTATACCTGGGGCTGATGGGGAATTCCTTGAGAAAAGAGCCTTTTATCAGCAAATACTGATTCATCAGTGTGGTAATGAGCTGTCCTGCTTTTTATGAACATTTATCAGACTTGAGGGTAATGCCCGGTGTTAGGGCTTATCTCTAGACTTACCTGTGCCTGCTCATTCCCAAACAGACAGCTGTTGTGGAATACTTTTGAGGGGCAGGATGCTGATAGCCTTGTATTTTTAAGCCTCTCAGAATAAGCACTGTGTTTCTCTTTGCCTCGTGCTGCTAGCGAAAACGTTCACAGTGTAGCACCATCACAGAGCCTGCAGTGATCTGGTGGCCCCACGAAAAAAAACAGACACAAGTGGGCTGTGAACAGCGTGATGGTGCATGACCAGGGTGATGGGTGATGTGTAACACTGGAGCCAGCTTTTCTACAGGGCTGCTGTTTGTGTCGGGAGCTTAGCCTTATGCTAAGATACCTGAAGCCAAGCCTGGGCAATCGCTCTTTCCTCCTCCACACTGAAAGCATAGAGGTGATCAGAAAAGTGTTGACTTCAAGGGACATGGCCTCACAAGGGCCTTTGAAAGAAACAGTTTGTAAAAGCACATTGCTCTCATAAGAAACCGTAAAGAAATAGAAAATAAATACAGTGCACAGCTAGAGGGCAAAACTTTGGGATGGTGACAGAATGCTTGGCTGAGTCGTAATGACTTTACCAAGCAAAGCTCTACCAGGGAGCAACCTGTGACATCGAAAACAAATGAACAAAGCAAGGCATTTCAGAACAGTCACTGAGGTTGAATGCAACACATTTGCAGAGACTAGGTATGAAACACTTAGCCACAGACCTTTAAAGTAAAAAAAAAAAATAAAAAAAATAATCCACCCAAAAGGAAAAGAATGCTCAAGTAAACTTGTTTCCTATCACATGCGTTAAATGAAGGCACGTTCCAGAGCAGCTCTGTCGTATCTGTACAAACACAATTACCATGCAATAGTTAGTAATCAGGATAGTTTAACTTATGGGGCTAAATATGACTCTTACGTCCTTATTTAGATACTTGGCTTTTACGA